TCAAATCCAACCATTTCACTGTCAGTTTTCTATCAGAAGCTAACGCAGGAGACAGGTGTAGGAGACTATTTTCATGTTCAGCCTGCATGAAACACTCAGAATGACTGATTGTAATCAGAAATAATCAGTAAAAATGGTTTGTCAGTCAACCACATCTTTAAAACAAGATGTGTAGAAAAATGGTGTCTTTTTATTTTTCAGTCTTTCAGATGCAGAACAAAGAGCAAAAACAGGCAGCCAGTTCAAAGGCAGATTAATCCTCTGCTTTAAAAACAAGGAAAAACGAACATGCTTGCCTAATCTGGAATTATAATCTCTGAAGGAGCACCATTCTCCAAATAAAAATTAAAGGGTCTGCTTTGCACTTAATTAAGGGCTTAACAGGCAAATCCAGATTTTCTTCAGAGTGGGGCTCTTCAGTGGGCTGAGGTTATCTCTTCATCAACTAACACAAGCACACATCTAAAATGGAGAAAGAGCCGATGTGGAAAAAGGAGGAAATGCATTAGTTTCAAAGGCAGGGTCGCCTGTCTTTAGGTCACACCTCTAGCCCTGCTGTCAACATCTCACAAATGCAGTAAACCCATTAAAGTAGTCTAGACGACGGGTTGTTACAACTCTCTCTGACCACCACTAAAGCCTTTCCTTTTGTCCACTAACCCGAGGGGCCTCTAATGTTGAGCTGCTGGCTCAGTCGTAACTTCAGGGAACACCTCCACCGCAATAAACCCGGTTCCTCCCCATGAAGAACTGCTTCAGCGCCATGACAAAACACGGCGTTCCTCTTGGCCATCAGTATAAATCAGGTAGCTGCACTGACAGTCGAACAAAGCCTTCAGCTTAGCTGGTGAACCGTTTCTATGTAGCAATAATAAAATGGCTTTTCTTAAGCGTTTTTGTAGAATAAGAAAGCATTCATCTATTAAAAAAATGAAGGAATTTTGGCCTTATGGGCATTAACTTAATCAATTATCAAAAGTATATGACACCTAATGAAAGGACTACAGATTTACTGACAGGGTTCGCCTCTAACCAGTGAGATTTCTGCATGTAAAGCTTCCAAAGAGACAAAAGTTAAATTGTGTTTGTGGAAAACCAAACATAATTCATAAAGAAGGTTCAACTCTGTTCACTGTGTCCATTTAAATGCACCGACGACACGGACAAATCATGGCTGAGTATCCATACAATAACATTTTATTTATCATTGTAACGATTAAATGTACATGTTATTTAATGAACCATAAGATGTGAGATTCCATAGGAAATATGAAATCTATCTTATGGATCTTTGGATAATTTAAACCAGAAGATTGGAACTTTTTATTGCAGGGATTATGTAACACTTCGTATTAACTGAGAGACAACAGAAGAGAGAGTCAAGTTTTAAAAGTTTAAAGATTTAGTACTAAACAAATTAAAACTAGACTAATTTTAACACTAAACGTATGGTGTAACTAAGGTGAAGTAAGACGAAGGATGGTGTAGTGTGGAATGTTGTTCAGAACCAGCAAATCCGGAGAAACGATTAGTCCTGATGGGAGTGAAGATGATGTACAGTTGTGGTCAGAAGTTTACATACACTTGTAAAAAGTATAATATAATGGCTCTACTGAGTGTCCCGTTATTTCTAAAACTCTGATTTTTCTCTGATAGAGTGATTGGAACAGATACTTCTTTGTCACAAAAAACATTCATGAAGTTTGGTTCTTTAATGTCTTTATTATGGGTTAACAGAGAAAAGTGATCACATTTGCTGGGTCACAAATATACATACAGCAACATGAACTAGCAATTTTGGTGACTTAGAAACGTGTCAGTGAACTGAGCTTCATAGCATGGCCTCTTAACTTCTTGTGAGTGATTATGAGTGACTACAGCTGGTGACTTCTCTTAGGCCAGGTAAATAGGGCTCATTGGATACAAACGCCCACAAATGCTACAATGGGAAAGTCAAAGGAGCTCAGCATGGATCTGAAAAAGCGAATTGGTGACTTGAACAAGTCAGGAAAGTCACTTGGGGCCATTTCAAAGCAGCTGCAGGTCCCAAGAGCAACAGTGCAAACAATTGTTTGTAAGTATAAGGTGCATGGCACTGTTTCATCACTGCCAAGATCAGGAAGAAAATGCAAGCTATCACCTGCTGCTGAGAGAAAATTGGTCAGGAGGGTAAAGAGTGAACCAAGAATCACCAAAAAGCAGATCTGCCAAGAATTAGAAGCTGCTGGAACACAGGTGTCATTGTCCACAGTCAAACGTGTTTTGCATCTCCATGGACTGAGAGGCTGCCGTGCAAGAAGGAAGCCCTTGCTCCAAAAGCGGCACCTTAAGGCTCGACTGAAGTTTGCTGCTGATCACATGGACAAAGATAAGACCTTCTGGAGGAAAATTCTGTGGTCAGACGAAACAAAAATCGAGCTTTTTGGCCACAATGCCCAGCAATATGTTTGGAGGAGAAAAGGTGAGGCCTTTAACCCCAAGAATTAATCAATTTCCCTCTGGGATTAATAAAGTATTTTTGAATTGAATTGAATTGAATTGAACACCATGCCTACAGTCAAGCATGGTGGTGGGAATATTATGCTGTGGGGCTGTTTTGCTGCCAGTGGAACTGGTGCTTTACAGAGAGTAAATGGGATAATGAAGAAGGAGGATTACCTTCACATTCTTCAACATAACCTAAAATAATCAGCACGAAGGTTGGGTCTTGGGCGCAGTTGGGTGTTCCAACAGGACAATGACCCCAAACACACATCAAAAGTGGTAAAGGAATGGCTAAATCAGGCTAGAATAAGGGTTTTAGAATGGCCTTCCCAAAGTCCTGACTTAAACCCCATTGAAAACATGAGGACAGTGCTGAAGAAACAAGTCCATGTCAGAAAGCCATCAAATTTAACTGAACTTCACCAATTCTGTCAAGAGGAGTGGTCAAAGATTCAACCAGAAGCTTGCCAGAAGCTTGTGGATGGCTACCAAAAGCGCCTAATTGAAGTGAAAATGGCTAAGGGACATGTAACCAAATATTAGCACTGCTGTATGTATATTTGTGACCCAGCAAATGTGATCACTTTTCTCTGTTAACCCATAATAAAGACATTAAAGAACCAAACTTCATGAATGTTTTTTGTGACAAAGAAGTATCTGTTCCAATCACTCTATCAGAGAAAAATCAGAGTTTTAGAAATAACGGGACACTCAGTAGAGCCATTATATTATATTTTTTACAAGTGTATGTAAACTGACCACAACTGTATCGCGCTAAGCTTGGTTGGAGATTTATAACTCATATTGAGACCCTTCTGCAGGCCTACGTACCGTTTGCGCAAGTCCCCGTCAGATCAGGAATGTCGAGGTCCAGCTTGACCTTCTCTGGAACCTAAGCAGGTAGGAAAAGCAGCGGTTTGCCGACCAGACCAGTCATGAGATACTTCCGGGTCACGACGGTTTTATCGGCATCTAGCAAAACCCAAAACGGGGTCGTGATGGTTCAGCTTTTATTCTGAAAGGAACCATTGCAGCAGGTAGACCTTGCAACAGATTTTATCCAGCTTGTCGTTGGTTCTTTCGGCTGAAGAGGAAAGTTACGGATTGGCCACTCCGACAACTTCTCTAGAACGCTTTGAACTGAAGTAAGATGATGTGGGCATAGTTTTATAATTTGGATGTTTTGATTTACGGTTGAATCAAAAAGGGACAGTTTTACCAAGCACCACCAAAACCACACCTCGTGTCAGATCTGGAAGATTGATTGGGTCAGAAAAAGGAAATGTGTCATGTGACTTAACATTACATGGATGAGAATGCCTAGTGCAAATATTTAAAGTTATATTACTTATTATAACTACTGATATAACATTGTCATTTCACAGATTGGTTCACATTTTATTATTGGACTAACACTTTGTTTGATTAGCTTTATTAAAAATAGAGTTCTTCTGATTTATTAAAAGAAAGAGTCCTTTGTCTTCATTTTTCTCTTGAGCTGGAAAGGAAGAAACAGTTTAGAAGCAAAGCATGAGACCTTGAGCAATATCTCATGCAGATTAGGTTTGTGTCAGAAACTTCTGGTTTTGCTTTGAGCAGAGCAAAACTGAGCAGGGCCTTTTAGGTCAGAAATGGACAATTCATCACGCTACATATCCCCCCTTTTCAAGGGCACGGTGGTCCGTCAGAGACCACCTGACGTTGAACACAGAGGCCTGGAGGGTCTCAGTCGAGTATGCTTGATGTAATTTCCCCAGCAGAGGCCAAAAGGGGCTAATTTCCTTTGGAGGGGTTTTTAATGTAAAAAAAAAAAAGTGTTTCCAAAGTGTTGTACATAAATAACACCTGAACAGAATATCAAGTGCACAGCACTTAAATATACTTAAGGTAATAAAGAGACTTTAAACCAACTAATAAAAGCAAAAGAATAAAACAGTTTGTTCTGAGTTTAAAAGCCAAGGAGTAATAGTAAAGCTGTGTTGTTGATAAAACATCAGCCCCAAAACTTATCTACATGCTCCCTCATCTAGGAAAGGTATGGAGAGCTACTTTAAAGAGCAAGCTCATTAAGAAACTATTTTTTTTACTTGTTCGTTTTGCATGCATGCTGTGCTGAATGTGAAAATAGTCTTCCAGCTCTGTTTCTGCATTAGCTGCTGAAAGACGCAGAGATGAGAAAACGCTCGGGTCAGAAAATGCCACACAGATCTATGTCATACTGTAAATTTACATAAAGTACTCGTCCACCTTGGCTTTTGACCAGGGGAAGGATGTGTTCATTTAGCGTCCAGGAAGGAGCAGGCCGCATCTTGGCTAGTAGAAACTAACTGTTAGCATTAGCAACCCCACAACACAGCAGAACTCCTTCAGGACTGAGTTATTTGTGGACAAAACAATGTTTCTGAGCGAATGGAGGAAGGACAGGTCATGCTGCTATTAGCCAATCAGAGGCGAGATGTATGAGTATCATGAATAATAATGAGTAAGACTCCAAACCCTGCCCTGAATATATACAAATTTGTTTTCTCAAACTTGATATTGTCTGTTTTCCATGTCAGATGTCATTTATAAGGAAGATTTAAACCCTATTTAGCTCAAAATGTCACAGCAGCTTTAGAGAAAAAAAACATTACCTGGGTGATAGGCAATATTTACTTAGCATTAGACAACATGAAGGTTTTTAAAATCCTGGATTTTTGAGTATGCTGGAATGATAACGTTGAAGCTGGGATGAAAGCCTGGAGACTTTGAGTGAAGGATGTGTAACGGAAGAGAGAGTCAAGTTTAAAAGTTTAAAAGTTTAAAGATACAGCGCTTTGTGATTTATATCTGTGAAAGGCGCTATATAAATACACTTTTACTTACTTACTTACTTACTAAACAAATTAAAACTAGACTAACTTTAACACTAAATGTATGGTGTAACTAAGGTGGATGAGACGAAGGATGGTGTGATGTGGAATGTTGCTCAGAACCAGCAAATCCGAAGAAGCGATTAGTTCTGATGGGAAATGAAGGTGATGTCTTCGCGTTAAGCTTTGGTTAGGAGATTCATAAACACATTCGACGCCATTTGCTGGCCTACATACCCTTAGCGGAAGTCTCTGTCTAGATCAGGAATGTCGAGGTCCAGCTTGACCTTTTCTGGAACCGAAGCATGTAGGAAAAGCAGCGGTTGCCGACCAGACCAGTCTGTGAGATACTTCCGGGTCACGACAATTTTGTTGGTGTCTGGTGAGAGCCGAACCTGGGTCGTGATGGTTCAGCTTTTATTCTGAAAGGAACCGTTGCAGCAGGTGGAACAGCAACAGATTTTATCCAGCTTGTCGTTGGTTCTGTCGGCTGAAGAGGAAAGTTACGGATTGGCCACTCCGACAGCTTCTCTGGAACGCTTTGAACTGGCGTTAAAGATGACGTGGGCATAGTTTTATACTTCGGATGTTTTGGTTTATGGTCGAATGAAAAGATGACAGATTTACCAAACGCCACCAAAACCACGCCTCCATCAGATCTGGAAGATTCTGATTGGATCAGTAAAAGCAATGTGTCATGTCTTAACGCTACGTGAGATCAGTCCTAGTGGAACATTTAAAGTCATGTTACTTATTATATTCTATAGGATTATAATAAAGTAATTAATATTTTGATTTCACAGATTGGTCACATCTTATTATTGACTAACACGTTGCGTTATTACCGGTAGCTTATTAAAATAGAGTTCTTTGATTAATTAAAAGGAAAGAGTCCATTCTTTATTCTTCTGTTGGGCTGGAAAGAAGCAGGTTAGAAGCAAATGCATGAGACCTTGAAGCCATATCTCATGCAGACTAGTTCTGTGTCAGAGGAGAGGGGGAAACAGCCATTTCATTCTGTTACAGATGTCTGAGCAGGGTGTAGCCAGGAGAACATGCAGCTCTGAGCTGTACCTGAGACTAACCTTTGAACTGTGGAAGCTCTTGGTCTTCTTTGGGTCAGAGGAGGATGTAAGCGAGTTGTTGGGAAGTGTTGGAAGTTTGAGGTGCTGGCTGAACAGAGATGTTGATCCCTCCTGCATTACCATTACCTGCCAAACAAACAGCAACAAGCTGACATAATCAGTTTATGAGTGGAAAATAGAGGACAATGCAGCTAACTTTAGGTCGATGTACTGCAGATTTATGCTGATATTGTTGAACTATAAATAATTAATTAGGCCTTGTGTGATGATCTGTTTCCCGCTGCCTGCCTCTGAAGGGCAGCAGGGAGAGGGAACTTTTATCGCAGCACGTAAAAAGGGTTTTATACGTGTTTAGATATCAGCAGGCTCCGAGTCATTTGTATGCTGCTTATTATCTGATGCCGAGACAGGCCGACCATAACGTGGGGGTTGATGGTTCCATGTCAGAGCACTGTGGGTTCTCTGCGCTACTTCATCTCCGTTTTACCTGACTAGCATAGCCCTACACACTAATGCAAGCACCGGCGGGATTGGCTGTGGTCCAGCTAACCAGAGCGGCGGTCCAGGCCTTTCACTACCTTTGATTGGTTTAGACGATGATATCGGGCTAATGCACTTCTGTTTTTTTTAACTACACGGAGACTTTTAGTGTCTGAGACATTGTCTTTTCCATGAACAAGGGGTCGCTCCAATGCAAACTCAGATTTTATTTTCAGGTGAACCCTTGCGAAATGAGGGCGTAGTGTGGTAAAAGTAAAAGCATTTTCTGATAGCAGGGTATCTGCAGGTTTAAGGGAGCCAAATTTAAGACCTTTTAAGACCTTTTTTAAGGCTACTTTGACCAAATTTAAGCAATTTTTTTAAATAAAATTTGAGCTATAATTTCCAGCTATTGCCTGGAACCGGTGCTAACCATGTCGCGAACGTGGGATTAGCCATCCATTTACCATAAAAGTTGCACTTCGCCATGGCGCAAGCTTCCACTAGCTTAACCAGCTAATGTGCTCATCTAAAAATAGCCCCCTTTCACAACCAACTGAATGTGTACGGTTCCGCTTACGCCAACATCGTACACTAAAATGCTGAACACTAACTAGAAATTCATGAAAATTTTATAGAAATAAAAGAATCTTGTTTATTGGGTCGTTGGTAATTTAAGACCTTTGGAAACTGTATTTAAGGATTATTTGTCATTTTTATGGATTTTTAAGGCTTTAAATTTGGAAAAGCAAATTTAAGACTTTTTAAGGACCCGCGGATGCCCTGTGATAGGTGGCAAAAATCTGTCACGTACAGACAGTAGCAGTGTGTTTGTTAAAGGGATACTAAGAAGCTTAACTCGCTTTTAGCACCCCCTAGTGTCCGTTATTACATTTCTGTGGTTAAACCAAAAATGAAACATATCTCCATGCTGTGAGTTTGTCTTTTTAACACCTCAACCTAATGGTTGAGATGTCTCCTCAGCTTTCATTCGGTTCTAGAGGAGCGGTTCATCACGAAATCAAGCAGATCAGCTGTGTTTATGGTCTATAACATGCAAATGTGCTGGAAGCAAACCCCAGCTCCACCCCACTCCACAGCTCGCTCCAACAGCAGGGAGCAGCCCGGCAACTCTGAAGTTGCAAGTGTGGTATTCTGGCCACTGAGGGCAGTGGGGCCTGAGAGACATTTCATTAACTCTGTAAAAGGTCATTTTAGCACATACTGGCCCAAGAAAAGTGTTTTAAAATATGAAAAAGTTTTATAATATCCCTTTAAACTTCTTAATAATTGTTATGGGCTTTGCACCAACACCTTTTCACATGTGATTTAGATCTTAACCAGGCAGCTGGAGGGGGATACGTCTTCCTCTAAGGCTGACTGCTATGAGGGATACGTCTTCCTCTAAGGCTGACTGCTATGAAAGCACGTTTAAACTCAACCCTACTTGATTCTTGTGTGTAAATTTCATTAAGAGAAGACAGAGAGACCTAATCAGTAAATCTGTGTGCTTACTTCTCGAGTATCAGAACCAGCAACCACTAACACAGGTTAAAGGTGCATTATGTAGAAAAGAAGTAAAAATGACATCCTGTAGTCAAATCTGGTTACTGCAACCACTTTAAACAACTCTGGAGCTTTTTGCCGGCCGTCGTCAAATTACAAATGTTGGCGCTGCAGAATTAGCTCACAGGAGACACGCCCCCCCCCCCCCCCCACCCACTCACTGACAGTAGTTACGTCCCTGCTTCCTTGGTTTTGAAAGGAGAAAACTTGACATCCAGCAGCCAGATGGATATGCAACATGTTTCAGTTGAACCTTCCTTCCAAAATGACACATTAGCATTAGACTCTTTTGGGATTTTCTTACTGTAAAATTCTCACTATATTCTTACATACGGCACCTTTAAGTTTACACATCAAGAGATGCTTGATATTTTAATACGTGGGCAAAAACCAAGCCAAGCCATTTGCATTACAGTAAAAATCTATGGAGTGTGTTTGATGTCTTTATGAAGCTAAAGTAAACAGCAGCAAGACAAATTACAGTTATGGTACGCAAAAAGCTATATCTTTGAATCAATATGTCCAGGACTCTCAGAAGTAACGTAAAGGTCTGCAGACAGTCTTACTTTAGATTCTTCTGAAACTTGCTTGTGAGGGTCCCGTGTCTGTCAACAAGAAAAGGAAAGACAAGCAATCATATAAGTACTACGATCATGAATAATGGTCAGAAATGAGTGGTGAGGGGAGCAAACCAGTTGGTAATTATAACATCCTTCTTTACTTTTAGGATTGAGGTTTCAAGCTAGTTTTCCCAGCTGCATTAAATGAAGGACCAGTTTGCCCATCAGAGATTTTTGTGCATTTTGTTGCCTGCAGTTCCTCTGACAACCACATGGTGCGCTTTTTGCAGCATTCTCTAGAAACAACGCAATGCAGCATCACGGTTAGCCATCACGTCCATCGAAGATGCTGTGGTATCTGAAGTTGCTGATGATAGTTCCGTATAAACAATGTCTTTATGAACTCGTAGCCAGTGCACAGAAGACAAGTTGTTAAGCAGTTTCAGTCTTTCAGCTACGATTTTCTTCACTGCAGTCAATCCTGCAAGACAGAGTCTACAGGTTTTCCCCGAATGTGGTAGCCATCAGTCATCACAAAATAAGTGAACAACAGGATAACCCAGAGGTCCTGAACCCCAGGATGTTCCCAAATGACATTTTAAACAAGCCCAGAGTCCCAGCACGCACGCACACGCACACACACACACACACACACACACACACACACACACACACACGTACAGAAAAATCTCAATCCTACCCCTCCGGCTTTCAGCAGCTTCCTTCGAAATTCATCTGTTGGGTTGTTAAACGTTAGTTTCTCACAGCGAAGATGGTTGACTGGGGGGTGACCTTCCAGGTGAAGAAACAGGTCATAATCAAAGCGAACTTTCTTCGGTTCTTCCTGAGGAAGGGTGGTCAGCACCACAATAAGAGAAAAGGACAATGAGAGGTAAAGCTGAGTGTGCATGTCGGCTAGCTCTTCATCAGGACAAACACAACCGTTCTGCATCTCTCCTTAGCTGGTCCATCTTGGGCAGAGGTCAGATTTTTGCCAGAAAGTGATGGAAGAGCAGGTCTGTTGTTAGCCTTTAGCTGAGTTAGCAAACCAGCTTATTTGCCTCTCTGTGTCTTTTATTCATTTGTATTTATTGATTAAGTTTATTCAATAGGAATAGGAACAGAAACACAGAAAGACTGTAGAACAGCAGCCCCATGTTCGTAGCATAATGCTGTTAGCGATAGCTAATTTGTAGCATTTGTCCCTAGACGAGCTTTTAATACACAGCAAAAAGAAACTAAGACCAGTAAAGAAAGAATTAACAACATGATTTAAAAATGTTACGATAATCAGTTTGAAACACACACAGAGAGAGGGTGAACCAGGCAAAGGGATGAGCATATAACAACACAGCCTGTTAAACATGCAGCCCTAACCCTAACCCACTGCCAACAGTTCTGTTTAGAGACTTCAAAAGGATGGAAAACAGTTCCCAAAGCCTTCCACGGACAATGTAGTTCAGGCAAAAGCATTTTTGTGATAAGGCATCTTTCCATTAGAGGCTGCTCTGGTTTATCCACACACACACACTCAGAGGTTTAGGTGCCACTTAATTCAGTATAATTTTAAAAAGCACCTTTAAAAAACTAAAATTATTACATTTGTAAATGTTAAAAGGCTGGATATCGATCAAATATTAAAACGATGGTTTCTAATTGTTTTCTTGTCCAGCAGGAAGAGTTGAAAACACAAGACATTAAAGGGACTTTACGGACTTTTGAATTTTTATGCTCGCAATCGCCCCCTCAGGCCAAAAGCATAACGGCAGCTTCAATAGTAGGCTCGTGCACGAGGCGCGCATGCTGTACGTGCACACTCCTTAACGAAAATAACAGCTGAGACAGTTCTCTGTGTGTGTGTGTGTGTGTGTGTGTGTGTGTGTGTGTGTGTGTGTGTGTGTGTGTGTGTGTGTGTGTGTGTGTGTGTGTGTGTGTGTGTGTGTGTGTGTGTGTGTGTGTGTGTGTGTGTGTGTGTCGGAGGACAGAGGACAGGAGAACGCACAGCTAATTAATTAAATAATTTGGTTCTGTAGCTTTCTCTTCAGCACAGCCGACAAAGGTTTATGATGGGTCAGTCCTCCTGCATGCTCAGATCATTCCCTTCCCTTGCTTGAAAAATTGTTCCAAAATGAAAGTTGAACCCACATCTTTTTTATCTGTGAATTCAATGCCGTTCGGTGAGTCTCAAATAAAAATTTGGGCATCTTACTGTAAAAAATATACCATTAATGTAAAAAAGAAACTCTAAATGAACTATGTTCACATCCAAAATCGAACCCGGGTCTTCTGCATGAGAGTCCGACATCTTACAAGGTGAGCTACACTTTAGTAACATTCACAGTATCTGTAACATTTATATCCTTGATGACAGCTGAAACAACGTTCAAAGAACGGTTCGGAGCAAAAATGGCTATTTTGTTGCTAATTTGCAGGAAATATCTAGAAGAAAGTTCTACAGAAAGTAGCTAAGGGTCCTCAGAAATGTAGCTAGCTTTGTCACTAGGCGTTAGGAACAGCGACAAAGTGGCACTGCCTCTCTCTCTGCTGCTAAAGCTACGGATAGCAAATGCTACGGGCGATGCCTGAGCGTGAACGCGCATGAAGCAGCCTGCTCGACCCGAGCATCTCTCTTTTTCTGTGATTTTACAGAAAAACAGGCAATCACAGTAAAAATGCCAGGGCTCATTCTACAGGACCAGGGCATTGCAGGAGAATGTATGAAGAAGACATTTATTATTTCTATACATGTTTTGACTGTCTAACTTCCATAATGTCCCTTTAAAGAGCTACGCATGTTTTCAAATGTAAAATGAAAAATTTGACAAATGAGATTTTTGAAAGTACCTTATTTTTAAAGTAAACTTCAATGGGTAAGATGAAGCCTGCATATCCAGACTCCTCCACTTTGTATGGTGGATCCTTGCATACTGAAACGGGAGAAATAAAAAACATCATTAACTTTCAACAAATAATAACTCAACCACACAGCAGAACTCCTTCAGGCTTGTGTCACATGTGGAGATAAAACATCAACATTGCAGAGTAAATGGAGTCAACGGTAAAGTCATGTTGATGTTAGCCAATCAGAGGCGAGATGTCACAATATAAGGAAATAAGACTCCAAGTCATGCCGTCTCGTGCTCCCCTCTCCTGTGGCTAACTTCTTTCTGAAACAGGAGCGATAGACCCACAAGACATTTATTTCTACTAGAAAACACAGAAATTGCATTAAAAAAACAAGTGAACTTGGTCTTTGAATGAGCTGGAACGTTGATAGGAACTGTTAAACCTGGGCAATAACAACACTAATGACTTACGCTTTATGTGCTGAATGAATGGATGAACTCATCTACTAAACCTGTCAGTCGTTTCTCTTGAGACCTAATTAACTCCCCTTTCCAGAGCCTGCTCTGATGCATAAATACTAGAAGTACCTCAGACCTGAAACAGATCTTTTAAAGCTGACGACAAGGTCAAGGCTTCCCTGCTGAACTCCCATGGGACTTTAGAGACAAATAAACTGCCAGAGCTCAGGTGTTTCTCCCTGCTGAAACATGTTTGTCAGAGTCCATCCCTAAGGACGCCACAGGAAAGGCACCAATTAACTCCACGTATGTAAAAACCTGTTTGCTGGGAGAACACTTCCAAGATGAGTTCATTTATATTTCAGGGAATATTACTTGAAACAACATTTTCTAATAAACCAACCTTCATCAGCAGTACGAACGGCCTGCAACCTAATTTGCAGCCATCTGCAGTGGTGAATCAAACTATATTTAAACTTTAATGAAGACAAAGAAAAACAACCCAGCCCATCTTTACAGAAAGAAGCAATCTTACACCAAAAATTAACATTCAATTTATTTCACTCAATTTAACAAATGACACTCACAAACTATGACATTGTTTACTGTACATGAGTGAAAAGGGAAAAAAAGTCATGCAAAAGTGTAAAACACCACATTTACATTAAATCAACTTACAGTCTAAGCTGTAAACACTACACATCTCCTGCATTAAAGCTGTTATAGTGACTCCACAGAACAAGCTAGGTTTTAATGCCTACAGGGCCACAGAACACTCAGGCCCTGTCCACACGTAGCCGGGGATCTGCCAAAACGTAGCTATTTTTCTACGTTTTGGCCTGTCATCCACACGAAAACGGAGTTTTTTCACACGAAAACTTTTTAAAAACTCCGGCCAAAGTGAAGATCTGCGTTTTCTCCGTTTTGGGTGTCTGCGTGCGGACGGACAAAACCGGAGTTTTAAGGTCCGCAACGTCACTTTCCGCGACAAAAAAATGCTGACATCACGTGTGCGACCTGTGTTTACACTAGCCGACATCATGGATGCCCTCAGAGCTGCGCTCGCTTTATCAATTGTCCAAGCGCTTTCTGCTTGTTTGTTTTTGCAAGCGGAATTACTGCTCCTTGCGGAAGACCACAGACGAAGGACGAGGTTAAGAGCGGGGGAAGTACTGCCGCCTACAGGTCTGGCATGTCCTTAACAACGTATTTATCCGGGTACGTGTGGACAGAGTTGTTTTGTAAAACGAGGTGGTGTGGATGCAAGTTTTTGGAGGGGCGGATATTCGTTTTTAAAAACCCCCGGCTACGTGTGGACTAGGCCTCACCCTTCCCCTCAGGTATCTTTCCTGAGACACTTCTAATGGAACCAAAAACCTGCACTGCCAGAAGAAACAATTTAGCGCTAAACACCAGTCTCTGTTTTCTAGGTCAAAATGTTTTTTGCTGTTCATGACTTCAAATGGTGTTTTTCTTTCCAGTACTATGGTAGTTGGTCATAAAGCTGAAGTGGTAGCAGCCAGATGTTTCTCCTTCTCTGATGTTATTGAGCAGAGAACCTCTCACACCAGAGGTGTTCTGTTGCCAAATCTGTGAGTGTGTGATGAATGGAGGACCCAGAGAAGTGCGGTGGTTCTCCTCACGCTTCAGCCTAATTTATACTTTTTTGTCAGCTCCACGAGGGAGAGACGCACGCGCACGCACACGTGGACGGAGACGTTTAGCTCTCGGACTTCTCCGTCTCCTAGGGAGTGTTGCAAAGCAGTTCCACGCCAGGACAACAGAGGGCGTAGCATTGTTCTGTGGTATCCTGTCATGGGTCCGGTCCAAGATGGTGCATTTACTGTTGTGTTTAGTCTAATGAGCTTTGAAAGAAAAGCGTCTGGACTTCTTCGACTTGCTTGAAGACGTTTCACCTCTCATCCGAGAGGCTTCTTCAGTTCTAAGGTCAAATGGTGGAGAGTCCCAGATTTAAACCCAGTGGGAGTTTCCCCCCGAAGAGGGAACAAAAGACCCCCTGATGATCTTCTACATAAACACGAGTCAAGGTGTGAGGGTGGGTGTGGGTCCTATTCAGCCAGAGTTTCGGGCGAGCTCATTGTGAAACCTGGCCCCACCTTATCACGTGAATTCCTGAGGTCAGATGGTCCGTGGCTGGTCTGTGGGTCTCCAGAGGCAGCAGACAGGTACCAGATAGCCAAGCGGGGTGCAGCAGTGGCAATTGCCGAGGCAAAATCTCGGGCGTGGGAGGAGTTTGTTGAGGCCATGGAGAGTATCTCGGGGTCTTGTTCATGAGTGAAGGTAGGAGGGATCGGAAGATCGACAGGCGGATTGGTTCGGTGTCTGCAGTGATGCGGACGCTGAGCCGATCTGTCGTGGTGAAGAGGGAGCTGAGCCAGAAAGCCAGGCTCTCGATTTACCGGTCGATCTACGTCCCAATCCTCACCTATGGTCATGAGCTTTGGGTAATGACCGAAAGAATGAGGTCGCGGATACAAGCGGCCGAAATGAGTTTCCTCCGTAGGGTGGCCGGGCTCAGCCTTAGAGATAGGGTGAGGAGCTCGGACATTCGGGAGGGACTCGGAGTAGAACCGCTGCTCCTCTGGATCGAAAGGAGCCAGTTGAGGTGGTTTGGGCATCTGGTCAGGATGCCTCCTGGACGCCTCCCTGGGGAGGTGTTTCGGGCATGTCCTGCTGGCAGGAGGCCCCCAGGTCGAACCCAGGACACGATGGAGAGGTTACATCTCCAATCTGGTCCGCGAACGCCTTGGGGTCCTGCCGGAGGAGTTGGTGGAGGTGGCCGGGGAGAGGACTGTCTGGAGCTCCCTAGTTGGGATGCTGCCCCCGTGACCCGGACCCGGATAAGTGGAGGAAGTCGACAACGACTACAGTTTATTGTTATTTTTACTAATCTTATCTGCATTGAGCAGTGGCTCAATTAAGATTCAACAGCTGGTTAAATTTAGTGTTTAAAACAGCTTGGGTTCAAAAATCTTGTGCATCCACAGTTTTTAATGATAATTAAGCAACCTGATGGTGCCAAACATCCAGACATCGGCCATGAAATCGGCAGCACTTATCGGCCATCGGCTGACTACGACCGCCTCATATCGGTACCGGCAATAGAAAAACCAATATCGGCCGACCTCTACTTGTGACCATTGGTGAGGGTTGGTACGTAGAACAATCGGTAATTTGAGAGCTTTGTCTTCTGGCTCAGCTCTCTCTTCATCACAACAGATCGGTACAATGCCAGAATTACTGCAGACACAGCACCAATTTGCTTACGTTCCATGTTTCCCTCACTCATGAACAAGACCCCGAGATACTTAAACTCCTCCACTTGAGGCAGGACCTCATCCCTGACCCGGAAAAGGCATTCTACCCTTTTCCAACTCCGCAACCACCCGGGCCACATTCCATCTTGGCCTGCCGGTACCCATCAATTGCCTCTGGAGTCCCACGGGCCAAAAAAAGACCCAATGGGACTCTTTCTTCAGCTTGACAGCATCCCTAACCGTCTGTGTCCACCAGTGGGTTTGGGGTTTGCCACCACGACAGGCACCGACAACCCTGCGGCCACAGCTCCAGTCAGCCACCTTGACTATGGAAGCACGGAACATGGCCAACTCGGACTCAATGTCCTCCCGCCTCCCCCAGAAAATTTTGGAAGTTCTTTCGGAGGTGGGAATTGAAACTTTTTCTGACAGGAGACTCCCAACATTCCCAGGAGACCTCCACGATACGTTTGAGCCTGCCAGGTCTGACCAGCATCATCCCCCACCGTTGAAGCCCACTAATGACCATGTAGTGGTCAGTTAAGTGCCCCACCCCTCTCTTCACCCGAGTGTCCAAGACATGCGACTGCAAATCAGATGAGACGACAACAAAGTCGACAATCAAGCTGTGACCTAAGATATCCTGGTGCCAAGACAACATATGGACACCTTTATGTCTGAACATGGTGTTCATTATGGGCGATCCATGACGAGCACAGAAGTCCAATAACAAAATACTGCTCTAACTCAGATCGGGGGGGCCGTTCCTCCCGACCACACTTCTCTAGGTCTCTCTGTTGTCCATGTGGGCATTAAAGATATCGGCCAGAGGCAAAATTCCTTAGAACGGCATGTGTAAAAAAGTATTAAAACCTCAGATCAAAAGGTTTTTTGGATTTCCACGGCTGGAATTTTAAGAAAATCTGATGTTTGTGACTGGCGCGAGAACAGGAACTAGCTTCCAGTCTAGGCCCTGGGCAGCTGGTGACGTTTCACAAGGAGCTCTGCTGAAACCGCTGTAGTAAACAACCCCAGACTCCGGTGTTTCTGCATTAGCGTTATAGCAGAAACACGTGTCATCGGTCGGATGTAGCATCTGAAGCCTCTGCTAGTCGGTCACATTTGTTTTTTCTCTGGGATACGGCAACGAGAACGGATATTGGATTACCAGAGAAGTTCAGCCAAACTCTGACCCCGCTAGCTACATAGCACAACCGGAGGTGCAGATGTGTTTTAGACCGTTTGACTCAGAAGACCCGCGACCCGATTTGGACATCGAGGGGGATTCTGTTAATCTTCAGAGCCAAAATCGGTTCAGTTTGTTAACTTTTATATTTTATATTA